CAGAAATGTTTTGATTATGTAACTCATGCATTGTGTAGGAACGCAAAACAAAAGATTGTGCACGGTCATGGACCTTCCAACATAAATCTTGCCATCTTTGTTCGCTCCTTTGATGTTTGCCGGGCTTCATAACCATTCCCCTCTATTTACTGTGATGTATGTGAAGAGATTAATTTTGAGTTTGATGATTTAATTATTGACCTGTGTTTCCCCTTCATTCCAGGCCCCAGACCTGGCAGTACAGGAATTAACAAGATGTGTGAAGGTGACAATATTTATATGTAAATCATGGTAGTGCTTGCTATAGTCAAACCCCTATTAAAGCAGCCACCTATCAAGCGGCCACCTTATTAGGCAGCCAGCAATCAAAGTCCTAATGATGGCTTTTCCATTGTTTCTACCTCTATTTAGTGGCCAACCCCTTTTAAGTGGCCTTAGTCCGTTTAATAGGGGTTCAACTCTCTTTTACATATTTGAAATTGGTATAATTTGTGATAAAATGGTGATCCTAGTGATAGAGGTTTCCTGCTACATGCATATACTAGATGCGTTCAAAGTATATTCTTGATGTCAATCTACAGTCGAGCCCCTATTCAGTGGCCACCTACACTGTATTAACTCCCACCCCTAATAGGTGGCCAGTAATCAAATTCCCGATGAGGGTTTTTCTATTGTAATGTATTTAGCTCTGTTAAACCCTCCCTTTATTGTGTTCAAGTGGCCACTATCCATTTCCCCAAGGGTGGGGAAATAAATAGTAAATATTTATAAAGTAAATAGTGTGCAATAATAAAAACTGAAAACTGAAACTGGCTGTTTAAAAGGGGTTGAACTGTATAGATCTGAAGAAGAAAAGGATCAATATAGCATTAAGACAGTATGTCAGTGTTTTTTGGGTGATGGGTGGGGTGGGAGGGGAGCTCAGAATGAAGAACTTGCACAAAAGCTCTGCCAAAAGTAAACAATGCATTTTTCTGTTAATATGCAGGAACTTGGTTTTCCTGGAGTTGAAATTGGTTCTCATATCAATGAGTGGAATCTAGATGCCCCAGAACTAGAGCCAGTGTTTGCTGTAAGTAATTAAACTACAGTGTAAATTGTGAATTTTAGAGGTATGTAAGTAACAGTTCAAGAGACATGAAACAATAAGTCCCAGGATTTTGAGGTAGTAGTGCTACTGTCTGGTAATTGGTTTTCCAGAAAGTACATTGGCCAGATTTTTACAGACTGTCTTGTCCATGATGAAAAAGCTCTCAAATATCTAGTGGACACTATTGGTGAGGTAAGATCGCAATATTTCTATTGGGATAGATGATATATGCAGGTTACATGTAGCAGAGGTTATAAATGAGCTCCCTTGAATTTGGTGTACTCCCTTCTGCCCCAGTTTACTGCTATTTGTTAGTGTGTATAATCCAGTTTTACATGTACGAGACTGATAATACTGATTTGCAAATTTGGTTCATACTTTCCTTGAAAATTGTGGCTTTTGAGACAGCCCCCTTCCCACTTGGAATTTCCATTAACCCTCCTGGAAGTGGGTATGGTTATTTTCTGGAACCAGACAGTGGACAGTAATGCCGGATAATGCTCATGTTCTTTTTGTTTGTTTGTTTTTTGTAGTTGAAAAAAATTTAAGACGCTTGAAAGGCAGGCTAAAATGGTTCTGCATGCTAACTCTTTCACAAAAATGTAAACTTTTCTCTTTTCTTTTCAGGAAAATGTTCTTTTAGGGAGTGACTACCCATTTCCACTTGGAGAACCCCACCCAGGAAAGCTTATAGCAGATGTGTACAAAGAGAACACAGAAGTTAGGGTAAGAACCCAGGGTACATGGATCCTGTAAACAAGAAAGCCTGTCTCGTGAGATATTTACTGACCAAATTCTTTGTTTTTTATGAACCAGTCCCCTCACTAGTATTGTATACTTTCTGTTGCAGGATAAGCTGTTAGCGGGTAATGCACTGAGGTTCCTTGGACTGGACAGATCTCAGTTTGAAGATGATGCACCAAACAATTAGCAGCTCAAATAGACATACATGTAGCATCATTATTTTTCCAATGTCGCTTTTTGAAACACCTTGTTTTTCAAACAGTTTAATTGTTAAGCAGACAGTTTTATTTTGATATTTGTACCTAGCTGTTACCTCTTTGTTGTGCTTGGTAGCAAATAAGGAAAGTTTGGATTGATGTTGCCAAAACGTAACAAAAAAGCACTGTTTTCCAAAACCCAAATACAGCCAAGGATCCGTTATTAGAAAGAAATAGACAACTTGATTAAGTACAAATTTGGCTAAGGTAGGACAGAAAACAAGTTTACATTTCAAACATACTGTATACTTACTACTGGGAGGAAGGACAGACTATGATAAACATCTGGAATAATACAGTACTTAGGAAGAGCCACTGAAGACATTTTGACATACATGTAAAGTTCACCCCAAGTCTGCTAACAGTCACCTCCCATAGTCAAACACCTCCCTTAAGCTGACAATGGGCACTTTCCATTCAACCGAAAATCCCAAAATTTCAAAACAGTAGCAAATGGTATAGAAATTTCAGAGGAAAGTTTCCACAAATTTTGAATTTCTGAAAAGCAAACCATTCAACTGAAATTTCCAGAAATTCCTGGAGGAAAGTCAAAAGTTGACTTTGCATTTAATGGAACGGAAATTGTGCGAAAATTTTGGTATAGCTCGCAAAGTTGTCCTCTTTTTCAGGAAAATGCTGTTCCATTCATTGCTAGAAACTTTCCAGAAAGTCAAACTGGAATAAAACAATTTATTTTTCATCAAATGGAAAGTGCCCAATAATTGTGGTTCCAGCACTTACAAACTACATTTTTCACCCTCTTACAAGTGAACGTTTTTTGCCTTGTCCAATGGGAGGCTGAACTGGTAAGGCTATACTTGTAGCAAATTGTAAAAGTCACAAAGTAGATGGATTTTATTTTTGCAAAGCAAAAGTAACCCAAGGTTACAACAATTTTATAATTTGTTTAGGATTGGTTGGAGTTAAATAGTGTGCACTGTAAAAATAGGAGGGTAAATAATTATTTAATAGAATATAATTTATTAGTGAGAGAGTGATCTTCAAATGAGTGACAAGACCAAAACCAAAAACACCAATCAGTGATCCACTCTGGCCAATCACAAAGGACACTGACAATCCAGTGAACCAAACAAAACTTGAAGTAAACACATGTAGCTGACAAAGCGTGGAAATATGTGTGTAGGCAAGTTGCGATCAATTTTCCTTCCGATAATTTGGTTTAAAAAGTGGTGCAAGTATTTTAAGCCAATCATGTAGCAGAGTAATGCGAAGCCAATTACTTTTTTACACTTTAGTGCTCTATTTAACTTTGGCCATTGTAACATAGAGATTGTTACTTGTAGTTAAATGCATATTTGCACAAAGTCCTTGCTATCTTCAATGCATTAAAACAGAGAATTTTATTTTCCAAGTTGTACATTAAGCTTCAGTGTGACATATGTTTGACACTATAAGTGTACAGTTTTTGACTGATTTTGCTTAATTACATGTAGTTGGTTGCAGAGCAGCAGCATAATAAAATTGTGATATTTGGATGTGATGAGTTGAGATTCATGTACTTTACAGTGTATTCATCTTGGGGAAGGAAGACAACAAGATACCAGGTATGGCAGCTCTAATGACTGCAGCACTGCAGGGGTTACCACCCAAAGAGTGATTAATTTTTGCCTTTCCCTGTACTATAACTGGGGAGGTAGAGTCAAGGCAGGCTCAAAACAAGTTAGCTCAAAACAGAATGAGATGGTGGGCAGAGTCCATCAAGTCTGAGTGCAACCTCTCTTTACAGACAGTATTTACAGGGGGATGGACTGTATCCACTAAATTGCTGAGGGAGGAAAAGGCTACAACTACAAATCAATGCAAAAACCAACAGTTTTATTTTGCTCATTTATCCGGATTAAGTCAATTTCCAAACACAGTATGATAAGCTAACTTCCATCATTAGATATCAATAATGTCCAAGTTTTTTTTTTTTAATTTAACCTCAAGCTGCGTAGCATTTGAACTCAAAAGTTCATTATACCTCAGTCTATTGTTAAATCTGATCACACAAAATTATTGCTGCTATCCCATTGACTTTTAACCTGTTACAGTTACAAAAGAATTTAAAGCCTCGCTAGACTTCTCAAGAAAGCTGATAATTAAAACTATTCCTCAAGCTGGCCACTGATAATTAACTTGAAAGAAAAAGGGTTAAACTTGTATCCTTGTCCTTGATAAAATTTGGACTGGAACTCGACCCTAAGAAGCAAGGAATCAACACTCCAATTGAGAAAGATTGAGAAAGAAGAAACAAAGCAGTCTTAATATGTGATTCTTGAAAACAACTGGTCGAATATATTTAGCTCTTATTAAGCGAGCAGGAGATCTTTATAGGAGAATCTTGACCAGACTGAATGCTGCTGGGTCTGTACACATGACTGGGGTCAAGATTCTCCCATACAGACTGACACAACTCAGTTAATAAGATGTTAATTATATGGCAAACAGGAAAAAATTAAATAAATTCATTTAATGTAACTGGTTCATACTAGCTGGCATTTTGCTTGCAAACCATGATGAGCTGAACTTAAATCTGCCAAAGTTTGCTCGTCCTCTTTATTTTATTTTTTCTCATCAGGCTTTTTGACACTTCCATAGGATAAATATTTTTAGAAGAAAATAGTAAATATTTTTGTATTTTAGTTTGCGACTTTTTCAGTGCAAAATTGTCACCAGTCTAGATGGGAAAATCTAAATCATGGTCAGTATTGATTTCAGCCAATCAAATTTGTGAATTTGGTAGTTCCCATTCCTTGTTAGGCAAAGCCATATAATAACATTCATGACAGACTATGGTTTACCACATTTCCCAATTATTAGTAAGAAGAGAGATGAAAATATGACAAGTAGGCAACTGGGTATTTTTGATGAGCTTCGAGGTGTTTGGAAACGTGGCGAGACACTGTCTCGAGTGTTTCAAATTATCTTTACCAATCAAAACTAAATCTACAGAGAAATCATAAAAAATCTATACTAATTAAGATTAGATATCCAAACACATTTATCACAGTTATGATTTCCCTTGTTTAAAGTTTGAGGAGTTTTATTGTAAAAAAATCTTTGAACCTCATTGAATAATTAAACTAATTAGTAATTACGACAAGCCATGGTTTGTTAACTACTTGATTTGCCAAAACTAGGAAACCTGGGGCCTGTTTCTCGAAAGCCCAGGAAACTTTTTGGGCCCGTAAAGCCATTTTTAGTTCATCTGTATCTAAATTTGAAACTTCTTGTATGAAGGGAACCTCTGTTCATATTAAGAATATGTGAATAAAACAGCTCTGTAATCATAAGGTTTGAGATTTTGCTATGGCTTTCCAGGACCCAACAGTTTTCAGGGCTTTCGAGAAATGGGCCCCTGGCCACGACCATGCACAGTCTCTTATTTTAAATTTGAATGTTATGTCTAGTCAATTGGCTGGTGATGTTTCTTAACAATAAGTTCCTCTGAAACACAAATCCAATTTCATATTATGATTCTAGTTTGATGCCAAAACCTCATTTTCCACTCAACTGCACAGAAAGCAAGATACGTTTAGGAAATCTTACCAATGGAGACGAAGAGCATGCAAGAAGGCAGACAGACCCTCCATGATCAACAGGATAGCAACAGTGAGCACTGAAAATAAAGCACAGTATAAATACCTGAACTTAAGCCAACCTCTATTCTGAGGTTGAACCTCTGCACTAAAGGACAGTCACTCGAAAAAAAAAAAATATTCTTAAGCACCACCTCTGAACACGTGTCTTACCACTGAACAACAACACGACACTTGGAAACAGAAATCAAATTTCGACACTACTGCCCCCGATGGGCCCTAAAAGGGATCTGACGATTCCAGCTGAATCTAAGTGTTGTTCTGACTATGGCATGCAATCAACCATGAAACACAGGTTATAATGCAGTGGACAAAAGAAACACTGACCTGCCCAGAATGCAAACAGAGCAAAGGAAGCAACCACACCAAGCCCTCCCTTGAATGTTAGAGCCAAGTGGAGCACCATGGTCCATAGCACTTCTGACAACTCTGTGACATGAACAAACCAATCAAATAAATCAATTGCACACCCTAGCTTTTGATTTTCTAACAAAACTGTGACAAAGAATACTCATAAACATGCCTTGTCAATGTCACCAAAGGTAACAAAAGATATTTTCCTGTGAGGGCTTAATGCAAAGTCAATAGGCAGCTTATTTCCTCACCTGCATGAGCCAAACTTAATGCCCACAGCCGCAGGTAAGAAGCCGTGTTGGAGATACAACCAAGGCAGTACTCAATAGTATGGATTGCCTGGTGTACAAATATCTCCCCAAAATCAAACTAGAAATGGGAAAAAAATAAAATACATATTAAGACAGCTAATTAATTTCAATAATATAGGTTCTTATCTGAATTCTTGTTTGCTGCTCCCCTGAAATTTCAAGCTGAGCTTGTTCATTTCTTTAGTGTGCCTGTACATAGAATCATTTCACAGATGCTGCTTTGATGTAGTCCAATGCTATAACTATGTAAGAATGCAAGTCCATGGTAGGTAAATCTCTCTGCAATTCATGTCAGGTTCCCCTATCAGTTCACTGGTACCAACTCATACAACTAAGTACAAAGTGGCACTATGGGATTATCCCAGTGTATTGCCCTAAAACACACCTCAGAGACCCTGGCCAACAATTGAACATGGTCATTCCAGAGTCCAACATTTTAACCATTTTGCTACTGCATTCCAATGAGTCCCACAAATTTAAAGCACCCTGTTTTCCTCTTAAATTTTAAATTTCAAATAGTGAGATGTTTTAATGTTTTATCTTGGCAGAGTCACAGTTGTATCTTTTTGTTTTTGTTTTTTCCTGATTAAGACATTTTTCTAAAGAGTCTCTCTAAAATTAAACAGAGTAAAAATATATTTTCTGCTGCTATGTGGCTAATTCAGCTCATTAGCACTTGTTTATTGCTTATTAAGTAGTTCCAAGCCCCAAGGCGTGTGTCCAGAGATTCTGTTGTGGTGATACATTTGCAGTATTTAAGTGGAAAATAATTTACGTTTGAGCAGAGAAAATTAGAACACAAGTGCTTTTTAAATCTTATCACACTAAGCCTGGTTGAATAATAACAGAACTAACAGCAGCCTAACCTCTTCATGAACATCGTCATATGGTTCACCCTGTGCTTGGCCATCATGATGGACCACTTCGTGAGAATTGTGTCCAGGCTCGCCAACCAGCACTGTCACTGGCGGAGGACTGGGCGTGTTTGACCGCAATCTCTGAAAACCCTAAAGGTGCTGCCAGTCAGTATTAAGCAAAATATTTATGGAGCTAAATCTCTAATCATACCACTTTGAACAAAGACAATTTATATCTTCTTTATTTTCACAGCCATACACATCTCGCCATAACATCAAAAGCTCATTACACTAGACATAAAACAAATGGTCAAGGGGTTTATGTAATTTCAACTCTGCCATGAAAACCCAGTGCTCATTCCGGAACTACATAGGGGAAGGAATACAAGTAGATGGTAGGAAAGACAACAGCATTAGCAACCCAACAAATCTTTGACTTACTTCGTCTTCAGCAGCCTTGTGTTTGTGTCGTAGGTAGAATGGCTTCATCAGCAGCATCCAGGGCACACACAACACTGCTATCACTACCATTATCGGCTGGACAACGTCCTGTTTACCAACAGATATTTATAAAAATTAAGCTTGGAAGCTGTTGCATGTTAGAAGAAATTGATGAAAGTGATACTTTATTCTCTGCAGAGTTAAGTGTTCAGACCACATTGATTTTATGATCTCATTTACACTCTCCTGATATTTTGGGGCTCTGTTTG